TCCGACCGCCCTCCCAAACCGGTTGTGCTGGAGTATATTCGTGGAGGGGGAGGGAATAATTGCCCTCCCCCCCCTTAATGACCTAGCTTTTATCTTCTAGGGAGGAACGACATCCATGCCACCCCACAGCCTCCCGAAGGCAATAAAAGGAAACTGGTGTGGCCAATCATTTATGTCTCCTTATCTTCGGTTTGAATGCCCACTGCCAGACGCCAGCTAATCAACATAGGATGGCCAGCTCTTCCCCGATAAGGTGTGTCAAATATGCGCCATCCTACCTCCCCCCACCTCAACTTTGAAGTTTTCCTACAAGGAATAACAAAGTCATTCAAGGTGGACTTTGGACAAATCGCTAGTTCTCCGGGTTGAAAGCCACCAAAGAAGGCGCCGCTCGGAAAAACTGCCCACCCGACGTCACAACACGTAGGGCGCATTCACACGACCGCACTTTGTCGTGTCCGCAGAATACTGGGCACCAGCTCTTTCGAATCGAGAACCGCACGTCGGAACCAGCGGTCTTGCCAATACCCACCCTCGCCGGCCTATTGGCATTGCTCCTCTAGGGCCACAAAGCGATACGCCTTCTCTCTCGGGGGTCCTACTTTTGAGAAGACATGCACAAGATTGCCCCGTGCGTTACTTCAATCGAGAGTTATATCCAGTACTTGAGGTCCTGCGTTTCTCATTATACACGTGCGTCCTTTTTTCTCAGAAGTAAATCCCACTGATTTCCAAAGGAGTCGCTTTATGCAGAACTTTACTCTTGTATTTTCACCGGAATCAGGTCCAGTGGAAAGGTAGAAAAGAGGGAAAAGCAATTTCACACCTTGTTTGTGTGTGTGGGGAGCTTGGGTGTTTTAAAAGAGGAACTACAATCTTATACGATCCTAGATATTAAAAAAAAAAAGATTCCCGGCTCTACCTTATGCCTACTTTCTGCTAATAAATTCCAGCTTTATTCAAGGTGGGGTTCATTGCTAAATTGTATTTTAAGGACTGCATAGACTTTAAAGCAGCGTGTGAATCTTATATGAAAGGAAGTAAAAAAAAATACAGAGGCTTTCGGCTTTAGAGATGCATTTGGCGTGACCTATTAAAAGGGTTTACTAGAAACTCAACGAAAAGAAAGGAAGAAACAAAACAGAAAGGTCCACGTGTCAACCACGGGAATCTAATGGGCCCGGAAGTTGCAGCAGCAACCCTGCCCAGCAAATGGTTCACGTGTGAAAACAGCAGCCTAGGAATCTGGAGTTTTGATTCTTCTCGCCGCTCTTGATACGTGTGTCTTCCGTGACATTTCCCCCCGACGTAACGTGAGATCCTTGCCCGGAAAAGCCACCTTGACACCTCCTTCCTCCTGGATCTCCCCACCCGCGGGAATCCATCCGACTGACGCCAGGTGGGGCTGGCGCGTTTCGAGCCTAGACTCTAGTCTAGAGTGGAGGGAAATGGAAGGGAAAGAAGGCTTAGGATCTGGAACGAGTTTAAAAATCAAATGGAACAAGGACATTCCAACTTTGGGGGAGCCGGGAAGAGGGAGGGATGTTCCGTGAAGAGCAGAGAAGTATCTCAGATCCCTGCTTCTCGTCCTCACGAAGACGCAGCGGTGGATTCTTTAACTCTCTCCCCCCCCTCCGCCTTCTTTCTTTCTTTTTTGAATTGTTGGAGCAACTTTTAAAAACAACGCGTTCCTGTTGCAGGGAAAGCCAACTCCCTCGTGCGACTACCTGAGCGCGTTGGGAAGGTGCTCTTATCCTGATGCTCTTCCTTTCCTCCGTCCTGAGGAACCTGCAAAACCTAAGCGAATCTCCAAAGCTGGGAGTGACAGCAGCCAAAAGGGAGCGGGTGGGCGGAAGAAGGGGCTGAACGCCTGGCCGCAGATACTCCTTTGCCCTTTGTGAATTTGGGGGGGGGGGAAGGACCCTGTCCTCCGGACAACGGGCGAGGGAAGTTTTCCGCGGCCGCCTCTGCCCCCCCCCGGGGGGCACAGGTACTGATGGTTCAGGAGGGTAGAATTTTCTCACCTGTCCTGGAAAAGTCCAGCTCTGGTGGGAACGCAATAGTGGGGGCATAATAAAATAATAATTATGGGAATAGTAATTATGATGATGCTTTCGACTTGCAAGTAGGTTCCGAAACGGATGCTGATTTTCGACACTTTTCTCAACTGTGATGTTTTTTTAAAAAATTATAACACAGTGTAAGGTTATGCTTTTCTGTGGAGGGAAAATTTGGGTTAAAACAGTAAATTTGGGTATCAGTCTTACATATTTCTCTGGAAGCGTGCGCAGAGTAGAGCACCGGGGGCCTTACTTTCGAATGAGTAGACTAGATTTGAGGAGCACACCCTGAGCTCCGTGGGTTGCACCCAGGAGAAAAACTGACAATATAATATTGCGGAGGTTTAGGTCTGCTCAGGAGCAAGTCCTGTTGAGTTCAGAGGGTCTGATTTCCGGATCGTACGATGGGAGCCTTAAAGAGTCGTCTTAATTTTCCGAAGGAAATCCACTTGGGCTGGATTCCAGGTCTCGTATCATGTCGCCTTTTTACTGAATGTGTGGAAGAAGATCACAAGAGCTGTCTTTTCCTCTCCAAGCGTTCCACGGACTGGATCGGAAGGAATCGCTAATAATCGGGGCTGGGCGCGCTCACTAGCGCGCACACCCCACCCCCACGCATGCTAAAAGACTCCCCAAGTTTCCTCGTGTTTTTCCCCCCTTATCGACAAAGGGATGGGGGTGATAGTGGTAAGGAAGGCAGTATAAGTTATCTTTAAACTTGAAGGAAGCATCCCTTTCTCGCTCAGGCACCTGTGGCCGTCCCCATCCTTAAGGAAAAGACGTCTGTTTTCTACACCAGCAGGCCGGAGCAAGGCCCAAGCTTAGGGCTTTGGGGTGGCAGTGTGATTTAAAAATAAATATATACATATCATTTAAAAAAAAGGTAAAACAAAGCACGATTTGAGAGATGACAGGTTAAGCCAAAAGCTCCTGTTAAATGGGACCAACAACTCGAGTTTCCTGAGCTTTGCCATTTCAGTCCATCTTTCCCTTTTCAGTCCTCGCTCGTTTGGGTTCAGGTTCAAAGCGATCCTCGGCGACGGGGCCAAAGGGGAGTGTCAAAATCTATTCCCTCGGGTGCCCTTGGCCGGTGACCTTTCCAGTACCACAAAGAGCGCCAAATCCTTTTGGACTCGCCCCAGAAAGGACCTTGCCCTGGTCTCTCACCCTCTCCCTCTCTGTGTTTTTAAAAGTGCGGTTCTCACTCAGTTTAGCGGACAACCAAGTTGCATTTTAAGAGAAGTCACTGAGAAGCGTGAGATGCAAGTGTCAAAGGACAGATTCTTTCGAAATTTCGCAAAAAAAAACAAAAGGCAAAGCTGGGTGCCCTTTGGGATTGAGGTAGCCTTCGCTGGATTTAACCACCTGTTCCAGCTCGACGGTTACAAAAGTGGCCATCCTTCTAAAATCTTCTACACAGAAAGCAGACGACACGTGCCTTCTTGAAACACGTTCTACCGCACAGTGGAAAGATCAAGGAGGCTAAAGTTTCGGGAAAACTTCGTGCTCTCCTTCTCTTCTGCTCTCCGCTCTGGAACCGCTGGAAAGCCCACAATTCACTGACGATTGTGTGGGAAAACTTCGTGCTCTCCTTCTCTTCTGTCCTCCGCTCTGGAACCGCTGGAAATTCACTGACGATTGTGCGTTTAAACCCATCCACACCCTTACAAACGGACTGCTTTTTACCTGTTATTTGATGAAGGATACCATGGCCTTGCTGTGCGTTTAGGTGCTTCGGAATTGGCTGGACGATCGCTCCAGAATGGAAGCATTCCAGTCACCGCGGGGCCATGTCACAGACGCTTATGATCTGCGTGCTATGTTAGGATCATTCGAAGAAGGAACTTCTAGGTGTACCACAAAACCTAACGGCCTGCCTCTGTTTATCAAGCCCTTCATAGGGTTGAAGGGGGAGGACGGGAGGGGAAGGGGGGATCCTATCAACCTCGCCAAGGGCACCGATCACCGATCTCTCTCGATCCAGGTTTTGACCTGCTGGAAGCTCAGCTTCCTACAAAGTGCAGCGCTAGTTTTTTGCATCACCGGCTTCCATGCTCAAAGAGTTTGGTAGGGATCTTTATCCGCACGAGGTACTGTAGCTGGGCGCATGAGAGAGAGAGAGAGAGGGAGGGAGAGAGGGAGAGAGAGAGAGAGAGAGGAGTGTGTATATGTGCGTGGCTCACTCTGCAATCGCAATTCAGATTGAGAGAAGGGGGGCATCTCTTCCCCCACGCAGATATTTGTGTTATTGTAAAAACTGTTGGAAATGCACTGCGAAGGTGTTTCGAGAGGAGTCGGGCTGCTTGCCGCCGCCTGCCTGCCTGCCTGCCTGCCTGCCTGCCTGCCTGCCTGCCTGCCGGCGCGCAAGGAACAGAGCGAGGAGGGAGAGCGCGAGAGAGCGAGCTCTCAGTTTAAAGGGGGGAAACGAATGGATCTCCGCGAACCACAGATCCAGCCGCCTGGGAGATCTCGGAGCAGGTGGATCGAGCGGGAGCAGGATGGATCCCGAGTCCCCCGGGGCGCCCACCTCCGCCTTTCCCCATGCCCCCGGCTGCCCTCTCCGGGTTGAGCCGATCATTCCCACCTCCAATGCTTTTTCTCCCCCTCTCCTCCTGTTCCGGCGCCAGCTTGCTTGCCTTAACCAACCAACCCCCTTACCTACTCTTCCCCCCTCTTTTCCCGGGAGACGTCCGTCCCATTTGGGCCTCCTGCCAGTGGGCGGAGGAGGGGGGAGGGGAATGGCCCGGGTCTCGATCACCTCGCCCTCCCCCCCCCACGCTTCCACCTAAGACCCTCCTCCAGACGTTTCTTTGGCTTCTTATCCTAAACCTAATCGGGGGAAAGACTACGGAGGCTGCCCTCTTCCCCCCCCCTCCCCAGCACACCATCCCTTTCCGGATTGCTTCCCCCTTTCTTCCACCCACCCCACCTCCCGCGCTCTTTCTAAATTCGCTTAATTTCATTTGGACGGCCGCTCCGCAGAAGGCAACCCTAGCTAAGCAATCGCGCGTGTGCTTGGAGTGTGTTTGAGGGTGGCTTTTCTCTCTCCCTTCCCCCCCCTTTTCTTTTCCTCCTTCTTTTTCTTCTTCTTCTCCCCCTTCTTCTTCTTCGTCGTCTTGTTCTCGTGCAGGGTACAATGTTAAAAAGCCACCGCTAGTCGCCCCCAGTGCTCCTACTCTCTAGGTCTTTTTTGTCTCTAGTGCAGATTAAACGTCACGTCCGCACTTGAACTTGAATTTTATCCCATTGTACGGAGGCAGACCCAGCCATAGAGAGACAGAGCGCTCCCAGGGAACCAAGGCTCCGCCATCTTCACATTGCAATATATCTCCTAGTAATAGCCAGCACTAACCCAGAAGCACTGGGGGGGCTTTCCTTCTTAGCAAGACCCGGTGCCAAGCGAAAGGGAGGAGGAGGGGAGAAAAGCCGGTGGCAAAGTGGTGCGAGCAAAGCAAAGCAAAAAATTTATATATTTATATACAACAACAACAACAAAAAACCCACCCCAGTGGCACTTGAACTGGCAAAGAGGAGACACAGTTTGGGCTACCCCTTTAAAAAAAGGGGGGGGAGAGAGAACGAAAGAATTCTAATTAACCCAGCAAGGGTAATTTTTTTTCACTGCATTTTTCTCTGCGTGTGGGCAAATCTCAATTTTTCCCCTACTTTTCTGCGAGCGTGTGTCTCTATAATCCAATTTTTTTTTTTAAAAAAAGAAAATCCTTCGGGTGGAAGAAGTGCACTTTGGCTTTTTTTTCTCCCTCCCCTTCTCTCCCCCCCTTGTCTAAGCACTCTGGAAAAATAAAAAGTGTCAGCGCTTGGTGAAAGGGGAGGGGGGGAATCATCCTTCTCTCCCGAAGTTCAAGAAAAGATCTGGAAGCGGTGGAAAGGGGGGAAAAGCCACCCAAAGACAGTTCTCTGGCGAAAAGAAAACCCCCTCGGCTTTGATGATGCCTTTTTAATTGAAGGAAGAACCTCATCTGGAGTGCGCCAAGCGGGGGGCAGAAAGAGTTTCTCTTTCTCTCTGCTTCCTTAGTTCTTTATTATTATTTTATTTTTTTTTTAAAAAAGAAGAAATCCGTCAAGAAGAAAACAGAAGAAGAGGAGGACGAAGCAGAAGATCGCTCCCCCCCTCCTTCAACCTGATCCCCCCCCACCCAAGTCCAGCTCTCCGGGCGATGACCGTGTAAATGCCAGGGCAATGTCCCGTCGCAAGCAGGGGAATCCGCAGCACTTATCACAAAGGGAAATTATCACGCGTAAGTTGGAACTCGCAAGAAGCCGGATTGAAGTGGTGGTGGTGGTAGTGGTGGGGGAAAAAGAGTGTGTTTGTGTGTGTGATGTGCCGGGAGATGGTAGGGGTGGTCGGCGGTGGTGGTACCGAGCGAAGGTACCGAAACTTGGGGTTGCGTTTGTGTGCCTCGTGTGAAACTAACCAGGAGAGGTTTCTTCTTCTTTTTTAATCTTTGAAGTTGGGGGGGGGGTCGCTCCGTGGATGCGTTGAAGTAAAAAGGGGTCTTGGAGAGTTTAGGAAGATGGGAG